CCTGGCACTGCTTTCTTGGCCTGACTGCTGCAGAGGTAAGGTGTGAACACAGGGATAGGCAACTGAAATGTGGTAATGCAGATAGCCTGTCTCAGGATCTTGTTTCTGTTGGGTGACACTGCATCAGACCTGGCCCCCTGCAACCTTCAGGCAGGTTAAGTTCCCTGTGATCCCCTCTGCTCCTTCACAGGGTGGGGAACAGCTGACAGCTTCCCACCATGGAAAACACACCACTCTGCCATTGCAGAAGCAAGCCGGGAAAACCCCAAAATCGATAGTCATTCAATCTATAGATAGAGCTAATTAATTCATGGTGTGGAGGGGAGTGAGCCCAGGTGTGATGACTCTGGCCCACGAAGGAACAGCTAGACTTTTCCCACAGAGGGGGAGATGGGTACATCTGCATGTCAAGCTACAAAGCTTTCAGAGCAAGAAATTCTAGCTACACAGCACTGGAAGAAATTTATCCTGAAACTATAAATACCTGAAAACTTTTTTACAGAATTTACTGAGGCCAGGGCTTGATGATGCTGATTAATTACCCTAGGTGACTAAAGACAGCTAAGTTGCTGTTTCTTCCCCCCTCACAAACCCTTTTTCTTTGGATAATTTACCAGCTGACAGATTCTTGTTTCCCTGACCTCCCTGCAGCCACTAACACATCTTATAAAGGTCCCTTGTATAGTTTCAGCTTCTCCCTCAGCCATGACTTGACTATTCAGCGTGAAATTTGACAAAGTGCACACTTCAGTTAGCAAGCGCACCAACAGCCTGCACTCCCAATGCCTGCCAGCCTTCCTCACTCTCTGCTTTCTTAGCTCAGACAGTTGAAGAATGTTCATCATTAAGATGAACAGGCTATGATGCTGGCTTGGCACAGCATGGCAATTCCCTGCAGTGAAAAGCAACACATAAAGACTTCTCTCCTGGAAACAAGTGCAGTTAAGAGGTGTCAGAGAAGAAGATGGCTTCTGAAACTAGAAGTACTTACATTACACGTTGGTATTTTTTAACTCAGTGTAGCATTTAGCTGGTACAAAATAACTAGGCCTAAAGTAAATAAAGGCAGTGTCATTGAACATCTGGTACCTGCAGGTGAATCACTTTAAAAAGAAGGCTTCAAATAGAGAAAGGAAGATGTGAGTCAAGAAGTCTATGAAGATTAAAAAATGCTTTACTAGGATATTTTAGGAAGGTTATTTTAGTAGTCATATGTCATGGAAGAATGCAGCTACATTTCCTACTTCATTGCTGTAATTGTTTATCACCACTGCTTATAGGGACACAGGAAGAGAGGATTTCTGCAGCATGAGAAATTCTCAGTAGGACAAAGACCATGTGATTAAAGGAAGCCCTATAGCACTAGGTGGATCAGGGAAGCAAGGAGGACTGGAAGGAGTTGAAGTCATCACCTGCATGCTGAGTATGATATGCTAATGCCATGGAGAAGCAGTAGCTAAGCAGGAAAAGGGACAGTCTGGTTTCTTGCAGTTGCAGGGAAGAGTTGCTGGATTCCCTGGTAACCAAGATGCAAACATTTGGTTGTTTTACACATGTTTCTGGATGGGAAGCTTTGGCATCTGATAAGGAGTCAGCTTATACAACAGGCAATTTCCATGGTAGGGGCACTGACAAAGTCTGTTTGCTGTTTCCAGTCCTCATTAAATCTGGAAAAACTTAGTATCACTGAGTTCCCTGTTTATTACATCTCTAAAAAGTAGCTAAGACTGTCAGGAAGAGAAGCAGAGAGACTGTCAAACATAAAGCATGACTTCAAAAGCTTTTACTTTAGGAAGAAAAAGCAGATTATGAAAGAAAATGGGATTAAAGGAGGGGACTGCTAGATAAATGGGTAAAATTGTAGGGAGGGGAGTTTATGGTTAGTTTTCACGTCTCATGTAAAGATGATGCTTCAGCTGAGCCCTGATTTGGCTCCTTCTCTCAGAGACTGCTCTGAAGGCTAGATGACTGGCATTACTCTAACTTGTGGTATCTACTGACATTTGGGGGCAGTTTCAGACACTTATACTACCAGACTCAGTCCATCTACTTAAGTGGTTTTGGAAGTTATCCTTGAGGTTTTATTCTTTGTCATTCATGTTTTAACCAGTTCATTAGTTCATCAGTCATTCATAGACTGAATTAAAAACTTGGGTCAGCATCCCACGATGTGTTCTAATCAGCAGCACATATGGGGTTCATGCTCAGTGACCCCAGTTTAAGGCTGCAGCTCTGAGAGAACCTACTAGGGTGATTGCACAGATGCAGCTCTAAAGCCAGGGCTTTCTTAAGCAAGAATGACTGGTTATGTCTCTGTACAACCCTGTGTAGAGAAAGAAGGATGCTGATATTGCTACTAAACCGTGTAAACTTTGAGTGCAGGGCTCTGGGGGAAACTAACAAGCAGCTTCTTTCTTCAATTAGTTCTTGCTCTGCAGCTTTGCTTCCCCTTCAAAAGCAAGTAATCTCATACTGCGGCAAGTAACAAGTCTGCAGCCTACAGAAACAAGCCAGGCTTTGGCTCCCTACAGCTCACCAGCTCAGGGGTTATCAGGAGTTACCTTCTTCAGTGATCCCTGGTTGCCTCAATCTCAAATCCCATAAGCTCTGCAAGCAGGGTTTCCAGAATAGCTAAATCTGAAGGTAGATTTCTGTGCATGTGTGCACGCGTGCATGTGTGCACAAAGACAGATAACCAATTATTTGATGCGGATAAAGGTATATAATTATTTCTTAACATGTTTTTTTTTCTATGTGAAGAAATTCCTGTTCAGTCTCAGATTTCAGAAGCTGGGTTTACAATGCAGTACTTCTGCTTTGTCTTTTGCCTCAGCAACTACAAATCTCTGGAGGCTTTGCAGTGCACCAGATCGGAGGAGGGAGAGTCACACTTCAGCAGACAGTCTTTTATAACCTTTTCTGATGTTTTACTGTGGCTTAAATACAGCAGAGACCTGACATACATTCAAATTGCAATGTACTGAAGAATGGAGAAATGATGGGAGAGAAAAAATTACTACGTGTCCTTCTGAATTTCTAACTACATCACAATGCTTTCAGAGTGTCAAATCACCTTGGGTAATCTCATTTTTTATTACAGCTTCACTAATTTTGAATTAATTCTGTCTCACACCCCTTGTATGTAAAATTGTTTGCTTCTACTCATACATAGCAATTTTTCCACTGTCCATATTCCTGCTCCACTTGTGTGTTTCCCAATACAATATTAAATGTATTAGGGACAAGTTTAAGAGATACCACTGGCTGTAGAAAAGAGATGATTGTTTAAACCGTTGACATGAGATGTTCACATATCTGATATTGTCAGCGTCAGAAGAAATGTGCAGGTTTCATGCACATTCAGATGTGAAATCCTGTTAAATTAGGCCCAGAGAGGGAGTATAACTGAGGCAGTTCAAAAAGCAAGGTAGTGAGCTGCAGATACCCAGGATGTATCAACAGCAGGTAAAGAGGCCTGAGAGAGAAAATACAAGGGAATTAGTTAAAATTAATCTAAGTAAGAAAATGGAAAAGTTGCAAAAAATCCCTGAGAAAACGGACTGCATGTTGTCTGTACTTGAAACAAGAGGAGAAGGGAAGATAGGGCCTGTTTTTCTAGTCGAATTGTGAAATAAGAAATGAAATAATCAGGCAAAAAGGAGCTGGGGAAGCAGACATGCTGACTGCTGTCTAAAGAACTGTGTTTCGTTAAGTGCTCGCAGAGGACACAGAGACTGTTGGAAAGAGGTGGCTCTTCCCTCATGGGACGCACCAAATTTTTATCTTACCTACTTAGCTGCCTCAGTAAAGAAAAGCCTGAGGGATGCCAGAGTGACTAACAATATCACCTGGCTGCTTTAAATGTTGGTTGCAAAAGCAGTTAAAAAAATGCAGTTAAAAAAATGTGCTCCTACTGGTTTAGCAGAACCAGTGGTACAGTATATTCCTGTCGAAGACAAAGCTTGGTTGGATTTCGGTCTGCTGATTCCTCAGCAGACTTGAGAAAATGCCTCTACAGAGGGCTTTGTACAGAGCGCTAAATTCCTTCTTCTTCCTCAACACACAGAGATGTAAGTTTGCTTGAGTGGCTCTTCTCAACAGCAGCAGTAGCAACGTGTTCTCTCGTAGGGAAAGATGCAAATTCATCTCCCGCAGGGATGGGTTGTACTGTGCTCTAAAACGCTTGCTGCCTCTGATGAAACAAAAGCCTTCTGAATCACATGAACTGCACTATACTGCACCTCTCCTGATACTCCAACATGAACCTCTAACCTTCCAAAGGCTATTTAAGTCAGCCAGTACCCCTTGACATAAACTGATGCATGCAACACTGATTGTGTGCTTACAAACTGAGGAAGCACACAAACACTTCCTCTGAATGCTCATGGAATCACCAGCTCTCTGGGCATAAATGCGCTATGCACAACAGAGGAGGTTATACCCAAGAGCTTGTAAAATGGTCACAGCAGTGCACAGCAGTGATTATCAATATATTATGTTGTTACATGCTTGTAGATTCACAGACAGTCAGATTTAAAGTCTTGTACAACATTCAGAATTCTTCCTGTATTTGACTCCTGCAGTTATGTGTTACACTAATGGACTTGAAAGCGTGTTGCTGCAAGAACTTGCCAAATGGTGATGGTATGCAGTAAATACCCAGTGATAGGTCCCAGGGAGTGTGAATCACATGCTAGATACTGTTTTTATGTCTGTGGAGAAATCCTTTTGCCTGAACACAGAAATTCTGATCTTATGTGGGAATTTGAAGGTTTGAAGGATGGGAGAAAGATGTAGTTTGGGGAATTTCCACTTACTGAAAAGGAAAGTAAATTTTACACGTGAAATAAAAAGAAGACAGACATTTCTTAGATGCTGTTTTGTGATGCATAAATGTAGCCTACATTAGGTTGCTTTATATTTGTTAGGCAATCTTTCCTAGTTTCTGGTTGGATAGTCTCACTAGTTCAAGGTTTAAAGGAGAGGAAAACACCCAGAAAAAGCAACAAATACAGCTTTTATTGGACATACAAATAATGTAACTTTAAGACACATTACCTAAAGCCATTTTAATGCTTGAATGCAATGGCCACAGTTGCCTTTTGCCATTTCCTACTGATTCAAACAACTTTCCTTGCATGTTTTTTCTGAATTTTATTGCACTGCTCATAATTCACTGAAGTTAATTACTGAATACTAACTTTCATGGGCCTTCAGAGTCATGCTCCTGCAAAGAAACAAATGAACAGTGTCTGCAAAAATGCAATTTCTTTTAAAAATAATGGTTTTGTATCATCTTAGGAAATGAAAATGTTAGTGGTATCCTCAGCAGAAGCATGAAGTGGTAAAAGTGGCCAGAAAAGCACTTACTAAAGGTAGCATAGTGCTTAGGGATGCTCAAATGTAAAGAGCATGAATCCATAGGACTTGATTTTTTTTCCTCTGTATTTGGAGACTCCAGGAAAGGCCAAATGCAAAGCTTTTATCCTGAAACCACTCACACACGCACCTCACATCACAGCAACTTATCCTTGCGGCAGCTGTTGCAAAGCTCAGAATTAACAGCTGGCCAGTGAAACTGGCAGTAAAATCACAAATTGACCAACTGCAGCAGGAAAACGTTTTTCAAAGCATGGTACGATGCACTTGGCATGTGTTACACAAAACAGATCATGCTTTGTTCTGAGGGGACCATGACCTCTTGGGAAAAGCACTCTGGAGTCTGCTTACATGGCTCTTTCAGTAGTAGCACGTGCACACAGCTTGGGTTGCTGGCTGCAAACAGGTGCCGTGCCAGCAGCAGACTGTGGCTGTGCAGCTTTGTCCCGACTGACTACAAGAAGACACGTCCAGGTGTAAGTGGAGGTGCAGCTGGCAGCGTGCTCAGCTTATGGGGTCAGGGAAAATGTAGCACTCACAGGTAAAGCCAAGGATGTGTGTACACTACAGAAATACATGCCACATATTTCCAGCACAGTGGTGGGCCATACAGAAACTGCTTGGGTAGAAATGAGGAGCAGGTTTTTTTGGGAGAATGAAATTTTGAGGACACTATACATAGGTGAGACCAATACAAACTCTGCTTCACTTTGGGTTCCTTTTGGAGAAAACTGAAGTTTTAAAACTTACTTCTCCTCACTCCTCTGCCATGATCTGCCTGCCACAGTCCATTTCCTTTCCCACGGAAAGACTAGAAGATGTCACTATTCAGTTTTAGTAAGAGGTGTGTGTTTGCGTGGGGAAAGATCCTGCTTGCCAAACACTTGCAACAGCCACCGTCCAGGACTCCTTCCTCACCTACCAAGCACCCTTTGCTGCAACAATCCATCAAACCTCCTTTCCCCTCCCGCCGAGGAACGCGGGGTCGAGACGCCGGATGGGACGAGGGGCTGGAACGCGGGGATGCGGAGTTGGGTCGCAGGTGCGGGACCGGGAGGCGGGAGTGGCAAGCGGGGGCTGGGATGCAGAGATAGGATGCGCAATGGGCCCCGAAAGCGGGATACTGAGGTGGGACGCGCGGCTGAGAGGCGGGTCCAGGAGGTGGGACGCGGGTCCGGGAGGCAGCCCCGGAGGAGGGATGTGAGGGCGGGCCCGGGGGAGGGATATGGCGGCGGGACGCGGAGCTGTACTTCCGGTTCGGTGTTGCCGTTACGCGCTCGCGGAGGGGCTGTCGGGCCTCTGGCCAATAGCGAGGCTTGGTGGAAGCGCGCAATGGCCGGTGGTTGGC